AAAGCAGCGCTGTTTTATCATACTAGATACGTTTGAAAGTTCTGTTATAATGCTACTCTGTGCGGTCGTCACCGGTCTAATTAAACGCACAACATATTAAAGCTTCTTTGGTGTTTCCATATTTTCTATAAAACACAACACCAGAAATCGAGGGGTTATGACGTCATTGGCAGGCGACACAATGACACTATGGACACGCTCCGTGCCACTAGTTAAAATTGCTTATTTCTCTGGATTTAAACATTCTTCGAAACATTTGCGATAATGTAAGTACACAAGTCAGCAAAATATATAACACTGTTCTAGTGGTTTTTGGATATTTTAATAAACACATAAAAAAACATATTGTGCCTTTAAATCAGATAGATAGGTAAGTTAACAGTTGCAGGTTTTACAGTGCTATTCCGAATTTAGCTAGCAGCTTGTTCAGATAAACTGGCGCATTTGTTTAGTAATGAACTGTTCTTCACACTAGATAGGCTACTACTAGATTCTAATGACAGGAAGTCATGGGGAGACACTTCAGTGAACCAAAACATTCGAGTCAGTGCATGGAAGTGAACAAGATTCGTTCACTTAAAAGATTCGCTCAAAAGCACTGATTCGTTCACCAACGGAACACCACTAGAAAGCATTATGTCATTCCTGCCCGTTAAATACACTGCTGCCTGACGTTATGACTTCTGGCTTCAAATCGTTCCGTTCGTTTTGCTAATCTAATCGCATGTTGCAGGGCTACTACTAAGTGAATTTAAGGCCCACTAAGGTAAAAGTAACGTTAACACACCGCACCTCTATAATGACTCGCGCTTTGACGTGACTCAACGTGAGGATTTTTCACTAACCAACGGAAATACACACTGTACAAATACTTGCGTATTTAAAATAGTAATACACCCCGAATGCGTTTAAATGACAGCGTCTAAGCTTAATGCATACGGCCATGCTATCTTTATTTAACTCCCTGTGTACCTGGCATGTTAAATAAATAAGATGCTATATGGTGCACAAATACGTACAGCTGGATCCGTAAGATGATATTCTGAGGACACGTTTGGTTGCGTGTGTTTGTATTAGCATCAGAATGTGAAAGCATCATTAGCGGATGGTCTTACCAGCGGGAGGAAATCACGCAGGTCGCCTGACCATCATCAGCATCTCATGAGAGCGATCAACGGTCGCGCACTCGATTCCTGGCGTATCATCTTCATCATCATCTTCATCATACCTCTCTTTCGTTTCACTTGTTTTTAATATAGGCTCACAAATACCGACCCAATAATCCGCAATTTGCTAGCGCAGCGCTCCCCCATCGTCATGTTTGTGCCGTGGTTACCGTTCCGTTTGATTGGGTCTTGTAGGAACTGCAGCACGAACGCTTCTCTGAGCACCAGCCAACAGCAGAGGACAGCAGAGCACTCCTGCCTTTCCCATCACTGAGCGGCACTATTGCTCTTCATATGCACGATTATTACTAAGCTATTAGCCGACTGTTTGTTTTATGTAATGCGGTGCAATATGCTTGCTCAAATATGCTGAGCGGCTATACTGCGTATGTATGATTATTATGTCTACGTTAAAGACACATAAAGATGTTTATTTTGTATTTTGCATTTCAGCATTAGCAGAACAAGGCTATAGGCTTACACACGTAAAACTATAAGTCCATACAGTCTGAGATACTTCTTAATAATACATACTACAGCAGAGAAACAAAGCAAAAGGCAGAAATAGATTTGTAAACGTTAGGCTAAATATAAACTGTAGGGGTAAAACTAAATTATAGCCTACTGATAGCCTACTGGGGGGGGGGGTGTTTTGTTTGTTTGTTTGTTTTACCCAATTAAATATCTCGGTCAAAATTTAACCAAATTACATTGAAAAAATAAATACTCAACAGTTTCAATACCATTATTACAAATTTGGCAAGTGTTTGAATCCACATTAAATTTATTTGCCACCATACTATATTTTTGCACTTTAAAGATATATATATATATATATGTGTGTGTGTGTGTGTGTATACATATATAAACTGTATAACATATCGGTGCGGTCTATAATGCATCAAGTCATATGCCTTTGCATGCTTGCTGGCTAATAAAGAGATTCTAATTCAGACTTAATACTCTAAAATCATAATTTATATTATTAATGCCACCTTCAAACTGTGTATGCTTTTTTTATGATAATGACATGTAATTACCTTATGAAATTACCTACCATATAGTTCCAGTCCTGGCTTCTGAATGGTCAATACAGTATTTCACTGCTTACAAATTCAGCTATGACGCAAACACCTGTTCACCTTTTCACGAACAGCCCACAGCGGATCACTATTGTTGTTGCATAGCAACGTTCTGTTATGGTGAAAATCACACTTGAATTAAATGAATTTTTTTTTTTTTTTTACTTTTAAGTGAATATTTGTGCTCTTGATATTTTAATATGTAGTAAAAACAATACGTCATTGGTTTTAAATACGTCAATAATTGAAAAAATAACCCATAACTGCAATTGTTTTACTGCATTTTATTCATATAGTTTCTTGATAAAATACACTTTGCTTACAAGTGCTGATTACAATTACTATATTACATTCACCTTTATTTTAAATAAAAGTTTGACTTTTAAAACATAAAATAACACACACTGTGGAAGCCACTCTTAAGTTCTGGAATACCAACACCTCCTGCACTAAGAGTCATATCATTTCAGGGTTCCGCAGGGGAAAACATTGCCTCATTGATTAAAAATCCAAGTGTTTTGTAAAATGTCACAGGCATATAAGGTTGGCGATAGAGGCAGTGGTAAGTCATGCGTTGCAACTCTATCAAAGGAAATGAAAAAAGTAAATAACCAACAACAGTCAAACGCTGCTGTTTAGCTCGGTTTAACATTTCAAGAACTGGAAGTTAACCCAAACATCATTTGTTTTGTTTTTTTTATTCGAATCAGATGTAAGGCCTGATATAAAGTACGATGGAGGTATCACAGTTATATTCTATGAGTCTCTTGTATGTTTAAATGCTGCCTATGTATATATATATATATATATGTAAATGAAAGCGACAGTTTGACAAAAGTCAATAAAAGCCAGTTACCTAGAAACAACCTCACACCCAAAGACATTCAGCACGACCCAACCACCATGCTAGTTAATTTTATTCATACAACACAAACACTATAACCTGATGGATTTTTTTCTGTAAAAAGCTAGACTTTCAGTAATCAATAAAGTGAGCTGCAAGTTTCACACAGATATTATTAGTCAATTAAAAATCCACTGTGAGGATACATCAATTCATCGCAGGCAAAACTAGCCACACAAAAATATCAACAGATCACAAGGGCCCTGGTACGAAAAAATTGTGTAAAAAGTTTATGTACACCTTAGACACAGGTATACCAAAATGAGACAGCCAATATAAAGATATAGTAAATACCCTGTTTCTTAAACATTTTGTAAAATGATTTGTAAATAGACTTCTTTTTATTAAAATATATTACTTAAAATATATTACTTTGCTTAACTAGACAAGACATTAAAAACAAAATCTGATTATCTAGTCCCCATAAATCGACTTTGGTATATTACCAAGCAAATCCTATCTAAAATTATTTTACATTTCTATTGCCTGGAAGGCAGATGATAAAAAAAAAAGCCTAATTCAAAGATGCAACAATTTGTTTTCTAACATACTTAGAACTATTGGTATCAAAATGTATCTGTAGAATTGTTTCAGGACAGAAACTGAGCCACGACATTTAATGTTGAAACATGATTAAAATTATGATGTGTTGGGACAGTATTTCACAAATCAAAACCTTTAGTTATCAGAGACAATCGGATATGTTTAGGCAAGATGCTTTGTAGAAATTTTTGTACATCTAAAAGAATGTCAGTATTTACAATACTAAATAAAACAACAAAAAATCTTCATAAAATCTCCCTTCTGAGTGTTTAACTTCATTGCTCGTAATAGTTTTGCTGTTGATACTCTGCATTATTTGCCTATCCCTAAAAACTAAGGTTACAGAGAATATCTGCTATTCCAAATAGAGGCAATGTCACCGGTGTGACGTAAACAACTTATATTAATTTAAATGTAAGTACATAGTTGTTAAGGCCACTTAATATAAAGTGGGTCCCTTAAATGATTCGACACAGGCTATTGAAATGATTAAGACCTGGTTTTGCTCCTGAGAGGGTACATTAGATTGTTTAAGAAGTGCTTTAATTCTTACAAATCATCATTTTTTTAAAAAGCAAAGACATTTTCTGAACATAAAAAGTGCAACCCTAATAAATCTTTTTTTTTTCTGAAGAAAATGAGATGTAAGGGACTAATGCTCTTAGTTTGATAAATATTGTAAATATACAAATTATTGCCTTTATCAGTATAAACCTGTTCTTACATTCTTCTCTCATGTAAAAGCCACCGATCTAAGAGAAGTGCAAGCCTGTTAACATATTTGACAAAACTCCCTTCTATCCCATAAATAACTTTGAACAGTACCATATAAACCTATATAACAAGGCAGGTTAATGTATTAGGTTTACATATTCACAGTAATTCTGCAGTAATTGGTATTTCAGTTGTGTGGTTCTTTGCTTGTGTCACAAAGGCTTAAACCAACCAACAAATAGCTTTACAGGATATGCAAAGAGTAAATGTTGATGTTATTGGTTTCTAATCCAGCAAACTAGTGTGAATTATGCGTACAAGATCCGAAATTTGAAGGGTGGAGGGGAATCATGATTTTTAACATCTACAAAAATAGTAGTATATTCATTTCAATTTCTAAAATTATATTACAAAAATAGAACAGAAATAGAACCAGCCTTAAATATTGCCACTATTCAATATTTAGTCTTGAGTCTAAAACAAGGTGCTCAATGAATGAGAGGAAGTATTACTCAGCATTGCACGTTTTTCATACCTCATCTTTTAACGTGTTATTGTTTGTGCTGTGAAGAAAAACAAAGGGGCGAATTCACTAAACAGTCGCGCGCTGCATTTTAGCGCAAAAGCCTACGGCGTCTTCATTAGCATCCACGATCCAGTTTAACCAGGCGCTTAAAGCCCTGAAACGCAAATGATTGAGAAAAGAATGGGTACATATCCAGACATACAGTGTAGTCGAGCACTTTCGGCGCTCTAAAGAGCCGATTTAAAGTCTGGATTGCATTAGTGCAGCCATATGAACAGTCCCAGTAAAGCATGCCAGATAAAGGTAGTCTGCTGCATTCGCCACAACTAAGTACTCAGAACTGACTCGCTGGTCATGTTACCTGATTTGCATAACTCCTGTATATATCATCCGCTAAAACAAAGCAGAAGTTACGTGCAAATAAACAGCACTATTAGCAGGCGCAATTCATTCTTAGTGAATTCCCCCCATACAGCACAAAAGCTTGCCTCTCAAATGACAACGGATACATGGACACTGCTGTACTGTCGTAACATTTCTGTTACCCTCACTGCAGTGATTGCTTCTTTTTGAATGAACAAGTTGCAGTTTATCCTCATGACCATTATCGTACCACCAAACACGAGACACATAGTTTGGATGGACCAATGCAGTCATCATGACAAAATGCGCCACATCCCTTGCACATAATCATAGCCTTCAGCCGACAGTAGCACTTTGATTGAACGTCCTCCATCCCAGAGGTTTCTATGAAGGCTTGCTCAGGTGAGGTCTCACCCTGACTGTTCTGATCCAGTAGGTGACCGGCAGGTATGGCAGTGACGGTGACGGAAAAAGACATCATACCTCCAGCAGCCGTTTCACCATCACCGCTGCAGGACACAGTGGGAGAAGTTGGAGTGTCAGCCATGATGTGGTTCAGTGCGTGAGGGACAGACATGCTGATAGTGCCACCATACTGAGGTCCATTATGGGCTTTCTGAGACAGGAACGTGCGTTGGTGACAGTCACCTAACTGATATGGCTCTGTTTTACCCTGTATACTGCTGCACATATCAAGCTGCGCTCTTGAGCATGTTTCTTTGGTTCTAATAGAAGTGCTGCCTTCGTCTTTGCTGGACAAACAACTCAGTGATGGAGATTCAGACTTTATATCAGAGCAGGGTTGGGGTGGCAAACCATCATCTGGTTTATTGATGACACATCCCTGCTGTTCCACTCTGACCCTTGGGAAATTCGGGTGAAGGGTAAGTGATTCCGTCTTCCCTTTCACACTATCCTCTGCTTCGATTTTCTCCTTCTTCAGGTTGGCGAGGGCAGTGCCTGTATTACTACTTAGGTGGGGCCGTTTGCTGCTCTCGGATCCTCTACCATATGTGGACACGTTGAGGAGGTAGTGTCCTGTCATAGCTGGCTTGGATACCCTTTTCCGTCCAAAGATGCCTAGATGGATATTCTGGTCATGGCTACCCTCAAGGTGACCTAACTGACAGG